ACATTGGACCCATAGGCATTTGTTTGGGCCTAAGCAGTTTTCCATTTGTGTGTGTGTGTGTGTGTGTTGGTGGGTGGGTGTTGGGCATGTATACATGTATTTTGTACATATAAGTGCGCAGTTATATATGTGTGTGGGGTATGCACAAGGGCTCAATTTGTCTAGACCAACTGACTGTGCTCATGTTCTGGTGCACATTGATACCCTATCTCCATTTAATAGTTCAAATATGTTGCCCTTGGGCCAAACATGAAGCCTTTATTGTAGCTGTTATTAAAAGCAATTGAATTGTAAAATTAGCCTAGCTAAGGCTTTTATACGCATATGCTGGAAGTCTGTTAATGATAAAACCATCCGTATGTATGCCTATTCCCTTTATAACGATTGACTAATATTTCAGCTAAATTGTTTTTGTTGATGAGTCATTCAGTCTAAGATCGTAATATATTTAGATCTTATGTAAATACGATGGCTTAGCGTCTGTGCATCCAGTTATAAATTCAAAATTGGGCTCCTTAAATATAGAATACTAAGTTTATAATAAATTACATAATTTATTTAATGAATTTGTGCATTTGTATTTGTGTTTCATATTTAGAGTTCTTAAACTTACTGTGGAAACTTAAGGGTTTTATAAACTAAGATTAAGTTCAGGTTTAGTTTCATTCAAATACTATTCCGATTTAAGGCTTCGTTCGAGGTACACAAATAACCCGGATTCCAGGATCAAACCTGTTTACAGCCATAAAAATAATGACATGGCTTACTTTAAAATAACATCTGACCTTTATTCAATTTTCATTAACACTTTTTTCTAAAATGAACTTTGCGGGGTATGTTTCAGTCAAGCATGCCTCATATCTTTTTGTTGATTGTATTGTTCAAAGCACTTTGTAGATACACAAGCACCCACTCACAGATACATTCGCACTCTCACACACACACTCACACACAAACGCACACCCACACGCACTCACACTCGCTGCCAACGAGCTGTCATAAAAATTGAGAAATGTGACTGCGATGAGTGTGCACCATTTGGATGTTGTTTTACTTGCTTGTTGTTGTTTCGTGTCGCTTTCTATATACACTTTTGTTGTCTACCCTGCGTGTGTGTGCTTACCTGTGCACGCCATTTGCCTTTTTAATTGTTTAGGTCAGACTTAACAATGGGGACTTGCTGAGTTCTATTTTTTTTTGTATGTGATGCAATGTTCGAGCACCCTCCAAAAGCGGTTAGCCTCAAAAATTGTCTGTCATTGACTATGTCAGCTGGCAACAGGTTTTTTTTGTTGCCGTTGCTGTTGTTGTTGTTGTTGTTGTGCACACAGTTCGACTTAAATGGTTGATAGAAGTGAATGCACTGTGACACTTTAGTTTAGCACTATTCAGTCTAGGCCTTCTCCAGGGTTCACCGATTTCGAGCATCTCACATCATTTGTCTGCTGACAACGCAGATGTTTCCATGATTTTGCATTTATCCGTCCGACATTTTGCACCTGAGCATGGTCTGAATTTAAATTCTATCTGAAAATCGAATCTAGCGCATCCTTGGATTATGGTCGTGCAATGCCTCCTGTTCGTCTTACCTTGGGGCCATCTTTGTCTCGGCTTTGTTGCTTCAAATTGGCTGCCTGACTGCCTGACTGCCTTACTGCCTGGCTGATAATATAAATATCATTGCTGCTTGCACATAATTAAGCAGGAGAGTAAATGGAGCTGCCGGTTGCTGCTAAGCCTAACGAGACCCCGTAGAAAACTTGCTGCCAATGGCTCTACTGGCATTAATTCTATTTGTATGCGTAGCTGTCTGTGTGCGCCTGTATGTGTGTTTGGATTTTGGCTTAATGCGCCAGTCTGTTGACTTTCAGCTCTGTCGCTAATTAAGCCTGTTTATCGGCGTTAGTTTGGTGCTCAACTTTCTCAGTAGACATCATCGGGGCAGGTTTTATCAGGCAACTCATGTGTGTTTGCTGTTTCTCTCTCTCTATATATATATGCCCAGCTCGCGTCTGTTGTAACAAGCAAGTACCCTTCTTATGCGTATCGAGATGCCAATTCCCATTTCGATTGCCATTCCCACTTCATATGCCCCTACTTCTTGCAGATTGAGTGCAATAATAAAGCGATTCTCCCAAATGCCACAAAGCCTTCAAGTTCTAGTCTAATTGAGTAAATTGTCCAGGGAAATGAAAATGGCATAGCACATGAGTCTGTGGAATTGTCATTGAAACACACACACTGACACACAAATAAACAGACGCACATCTAAGTGCCTCGTTTAGTTGTGTGCGTGTGTTTTGCTGTCGTCTGTTTTGTGGTCGATGCGCAAAATCTCAAACAGCTCGCAAACAAAGCAAAAAATGCAATTTGAAAACTCGCACACACACACGAACACACGTACAGACACACACACCACACACACACACACACACACACACACACACATACGTACTTCGAAGGACTCAATTGTTTGTGGCTTGCGTGGCCAGTGACATTCTATTAGCAGATAAAACTAATTACATGAAAATCTATTGCGAATGACAGCGACCACATTGCGCAATTTGCCAGCACAGCCCGAAAGTAGGCAGCACTTTCTGTCTGCTCGTAAAATAGTAAAGTTTGTGTGTCTGTTTTTTCCGGCAACTTTAACTTTTGCCTGCTGCCATGTTTAGTGGTCTCTGCAAATGAAAACATTTAAATATGCATCACACATGACCACGCACACAGACAAGAAATTTTATCGCACAGGGGTCACCTGGCAATTGGGCGAATAACCAAATGATTTATCACGTTGATGCATATTCCCAACTGCTGTTGCAGTTGCCATTAAACTGTGGCACAGGCACTTCTGCATGCTGACAGTTTTGTAACCTGCTCAATTTAACCTTTGACCAGCCGGGCTGTTTAGGCTAGACACGTGTGAGTGCAGTTAACATACCCTGTATGTGGCTTAAAGCTATGCCAAAAACAAAGGGTAACAGGAATAATTTAATAATAATGGCTTGCACAATATAATAGATTCAAGTGTATGTTAATTTAACGGAAAAGAATTTGCAGAGTGACTTCTAGTCATGCATTGGCTAGAATATATTTACTGAATTGATTTATTTTTTATGCACTTGTATACGTTTTCTATTAGCTTTATTTATTTGGATTAAATTGCCTTGCAAAAATCCAACAATTAAGTCAAGGTCCTTTTTAGTTATGTGATTTGGGCTTTTATATCCTGTAAAAAGTTAAAGTTATGCTAAAGAGTGATCAATCTCTTTTGTTGGTTGTTTAAAAGGGGAAGTTCCAATAATTTAAATGACAAATTTCTGTCAAAGGGCAGTTTCTAGGTAAAAATAATCATGCAGTTACTCCAGCATACTGGGTATCTATTCTTTCGAATCTATAATTCCTGCCTGCTTTAAATAACATTTTCCAAGGAAAAGCCTGCAGTGAACGGAAAATGGTCAACCCATTTTTTAAACTTATTTTAGTTTGCGGAAAACGTAAAATGTTTCTCAGATTGATTTTAAACGGTATTCAAAGCATGCCTGAGCTTATAATCGAATTACAAAGTGTGACAAGTGGGGAAGGAAAAATGTGTACACAAAAGCACGGTCAACTATTTCCGGTTCACTCGGCATTTCACTGGCAAAAATTTTATTGTTGTTTTTGTTGTTGTTGTTGCTGCCATTGCGGCTCGTTGTCAAGTTAAAACCGAGCTTACAATAGTAAATACCATGTGTATGTATATCGATTGTATGACTGTGTGGCAACGGTGCGTATGATTGTTGCTTTTGATTTACCTGTGGGATAAAGTGGGATGTTGTTGTGGGCAGAGCGGGTGGCTTAGAAGTTAGTAAAAATAGAGACACATATAAATTGCACGTTAGACATGTTCGAAGGTACTCGGCAATATCAATGCATAGCACAGCTTTTCACCCCAGCAGGCACGCATTACCATGGCAATTAAGTAGAGCTGTCCAAGCACGGCAGCAGCCAAATCCCAGCCTGTAGATATCCGTTTTGTGCGCACTAGATATCTGTACAGTTAAAATTCTCCTAACGAACATCCTTCTTCGGCAGACACTTCCTCTTGAACCATTATGAATTAGGCCCTCTATTAGGCGCACACCCCTCTTGAGCGACCGTCCACGCGAGTTTTCACTGTACATGTTTTTGTCAATGGTTCCAATAAATGCTCTGCTAACATTTTGTTTTCTTTTGCGACCTCTCGTCTAGTGCAGTTTTCATAAATATTTGGGCAAATGGTGGCTCTGCTGAGTCCAGCATGCTTTATTGTTTCTCGGAAATGGCAATTAGAGTGATGTCTCAGAAAAGGTTACCAGAATTTGAGCTGGATTGATTTCCGCTTAATACAGATCTTCCAATTTTCGATTAGCTCCCCGAATTCATAACAGAGGAATTGTAACAGAAAAAAACGATTTGAAAAGTGTACAGAAACAGGACAAAATTTGTCATCTTAATATTAACATTAATAAATAAAGTCTAAAAGTATTAGAATTTTGGTTAGGGAATATCTGGTTATTTTCCAGCTTAATCAGGTCGGAAAAGGTTGGACTTGTTCGGAAAAATTCTAATGGGCAATCGTGGCTACCTTCCGCTTTGCTATTAGCTCTCGGCAGAATGCATAATTATTGTTTATAGAAAATGAGAAAAGCTTAAACTACAGTAATTTGCACTGTTCACTTGATGTGCAACAAGTTATGTCTGCTTGTTACTTATCTTGACGCTGAATAGGGGAAAGGGGGCGTTGTATTTGGGCGCCGGCTGCTCGGCGTTGTTTGTTGTTTTCCGTCGAGCACTGATAAGTGAACTTGTTGACATAGAGCTGCTGATGCTGCTGCTGCTGCTGTTGCTGTTGCTGCTAATTAGACTAATTGGCGCTTGCTGCATGACAAGCCACTGACGCACAGGTGAAAGGAAATTCTTGTAATTGCCAAGCTCAATGGCTTGGCTATAAAAGCGGTCGCTTGGGATGCCTACAACAATATTCGAAGCGGCAAGCTCAGTGATTATGTTGCAACTGAAGCATTTGACGCTATTTTGCGGACTGCTCGCTGCTGTAATTAGTTTTCAGGATCATGTCCAGGCTGATGTGCAAAATAGGGCGCCCTCTCTAGGCGGCGGCAAGACCACCACCACGTGTGAGCCTGACTTAGATGAAGACAAGCCTGGAGACAATTTTGGAGAGAATCCTGGAGACGACGATAACAATGGTGATCGCGATAACGAAACTTTATGCAACAGCTTCCAGGCACTGCGTGCGACCATCGAAAAGGATACTCTGGTGGATCTCATACAGTCACACTATCAGTGCAATTCCAAGTTTCGCAAAGCCTTGTGCTACTACAATACGACACGTTTCCAATTGGTTGCCCAGGAGCTGCAGCAAAGCGAAGTCTTCAACACAATGCTGGAAGAGCTGCGCAATGCTGGTGTAGACACTACTGATATTGAGAATATTGTGGACATTTTTGCCTGCTTGCTGGTGCCGGCACCGCAGCCCGACAAGAGCTGCGATTGCAAGGCACTGCGCGGTCACACTTTCGTCGGCGATCTCCTGGCTGCCATGCCCCAACAAGCCGTGCATGACTATACGACATCTGCCCGTAAAAATCAAACCAATTACGCCCGGTTTGTGGACACTGTGAGCTCGTCGGGCTTCCAGTCCCGTATGCGTGCCAACATGGTGAGTATTTGAGGTACCTCAGACTGTTAACTTATTGCGATAACTGTTGACAGATGAAACGCGATGTGACACGTCCACTTCGTACTCTCCGCCGCAATGGCTGGGATATGCCGGAGCTGCTGCGCGCCGTAACGTCCATTCTCTCCTGGTGAAAACGAGGACAGCAGCTAAATAACTTCCATTTGTGACATGGCAATTCATTGTATTCCAAATATAGCAAAATGTCTAGTAAAATGAGAAGTTGAATTAATGTCTTAACGTAGCTTCTTTACTTTATGAGGTCGCTGCTCAGGTATACAGCATTGCTAAGAGTCTAAAAAGAAGTCGTTGGTTCAAACCAGAGTCTTACCTTGATACTTGGTTTGTGAACCTGTTTTTCTCAATTTATCGTCATTAGTTAAATTTACGTCTACCTCTCACATGTTTAGAATGAGCTTTAAGTAGCTTTTCATCCTACGGGGTCGTTGCTCAGGTATACATCATGTTTCAAACCAAAGACTTACCTTGATAGTTGGTTTATGAACCTGCTAAATGTATCGTGCATACGTAAAATTTAATACTCTCCTCCGAACACATATAGTATATAGAATATATATATTCTTGTTCAGGCTGTTCGACATGCGAGCTGGTCTCTCTGCCGACTTGATTAAAATTCGCATCGTTTCATTTTGAGTTTTTGTTTATTTACGCACTCGAAATTCCATTTAATTATTTTATGAATTTTGTATTTCATTTATAAACTTGTCTAAGCATGCAATTAGGACTTATTTAAGACAATTATCGGTTTTCTATAAGCATCTATGGGATATTTAATTATGTCTAAATTGGATATAAAGGATGCATTATTTAATGTAGCATCGCTTGGCACAGCTCCCAGTTGGCTAGTGTGGATTTTGGCGCACTGGACTCGCATAATTTCCATTTAGCGAGCCAAGTGCCAGCTCAGGCACTTGGCGCGCTTGACAAACAAATTAACGCTCGTTACACTTTCATTGCATGCGCTCAATTTACGGCCCAAACGGACGACGCCGGGCAGTTGCTAGTTTCCCCGATGCCAGCTGTCGTTTTGCCAAGCAACGGCAACAACATTTACAACAACAACAAGAACAATGGGCACGCCGATCCTTAAATACCCTTGCAGAATTCGGGCTTTAAAGTCGTATTGTGCAGAAGCTTTACATCTCACCTATTGTATAGTAATTCGAGTATTAATTCATTTTGGTCATTAAATTATACAAGAATTTAATTTCAAACCAATTATTGCGATGGTTACAATATGATATATGCATATATATCTTCGATCCTGATCAAGAGTGTATTCTATATGCTCTATAGGATCAAAGACGTCTACGTCTGCTTAACATATTTCGTGGAATAATTATAATATTCTCTGCCAGGTTACAATAACAACTGTAACAAGTGCAGAGGCTGTTCGGGCTACTCCTTGGCATACGCCTCCCTCCTTGTTGTGGTTGGGGTGTGGGCCTCTACGTAGAAGGCATGCAGTTTTCATGTCGCTGAGCGCCTTCTCATGGCAATTGATTTATGCGCGCGACGTGACTTCATTTTGGGCAGATGGGCGGGCAATCGGGCGTGGCTGCGGCACCTGTTGTGTGTCGCCGGTGCGCTTATTAAATTAACAAAATAACGATCTGTTTCGCTATCTGCGTGCGCGTCTGCCTGATTTGTCTCGTGTGCGTGTGAGCCAAATTCAATGCCATTATGCATTATAACTGTATAAACAAATCGCACGCCCACGTGTACGTGCGTGCCCAAAAATAAACACAGTCACGCACACACACACACACACATAGCAGCAGTTCGGGAAACTCTCCAGTGTCAATCAAGTTAAATGTTAATGAATTACTCGGCATCGGCACAAGGACATGCTGACAGGACAACGCTGGCAAGACTGACAAGTTGTTTTGGTTTCCATGTGCTTAACGATATTGTGGTCGCTTTTTTTTCTTCCTCTAGTGTTTGCTCTGCGGCCACTGCTACTCGAAGGGAGAATGTTTGTCGAGCAAGGCAGTGGCAGTGGAAGTCCGAGTGGTTGGCCTGTCAGCGCACAAAAGCGAAATAAATCGTAGCATACTTACGTGCGCAAAAAATTTTTCCCGTTTGCTACACCCTGTAAACATAGATTCTATAAAAGTAAGCGTGTAGTAGACGAATGAAAATTAATCAATTTCAAAAATTAGCTTTTTTCAGACAATTATCAAGACTTTAATTTCAATTCTTGACTTTTATCCTGTAAAGGGTTCTGCTTGTTGCACTTATATGTCGTGTATCGTATGGTTACTTAACTTTATTTAAAATCGTCTGTACACTTATTCGTTTATCATCAAATCGAGATAGACAGCAGGTAAAATCTGTTGTCCATAACTTTGTTATATATGTTTCAAATAAAAGTTTGTACTCGAACCCTTAGAGAGTGGGTGGGATAGGGTAACTGCCCGTCGAGCTCATTCGGTTGCTTTGCTTGGCTTCGTTTTCACTTACCCTCTCGTTGGATTTTCCACGTTGTTTTGCCGGGCAATACGTGTCATTGAATTCATTATGCTGTCAGCATGTTAGTCGCTTGCCGGGTGCCCGATTCTGATGGGGGCGTGGCTATGCTACGTGCAGCAGATTAAAAATATGCATTGCGAAATTAATTAATTAACGCTGCTCTTGTTAGCTGCCATTAAATCAGTTGGTGCTACTGGCATTTTTCACATTTCTCGCGTTTTATTTATTTATTTATTTTGTGTGGCAACAAGCGCTCGACAATTGTTACAAATTAATTTTACTGTGCAAATTGAATGCAAAAACATGTTTGATTTATGTTTGTTTAAATAACTTTACGTAAAACAAACATACTTTGCGAAATTGATTCAAAATTAATTAGTCCAATTAAGTTTAATGGCAGCTTTAAAATTCAAATTCTATAAATTAATATATATTTAAAAATAAAATATTGGGCGCATTTATGAACTTTATGAAGTGAGGCCAATTAACAATTATTTATTATAATCAGAATTGTTTTCTACATACATTTAATGACAAATCAACACAAATTAATAGAGCTGACGAACTTTATAATTGACAAGAATAAGGCTGCCAGATTTAGATGCCAAATTGATATAGAGGCCAAACCACGACCAAAGAGCCAAACATTATGAAACTCCGTTGAGTTTTGACCGAGCTATGAGGTTTGGAAATGTTAACCTATGTCTACATAATATATAATAATAATAAGTAATAATTGCGGATATAGCCCGGCCTTGCCCGTGGCACTTTTAAAATTAGTTCGCCCAAAGATATTTAAAATGAGTTTAAAAGCGATTTATCTTCATTGTTTAACTATATGAGATCAAAAATACCTGGTGACTTATATTTTCTATAAAATTCCTTTAAATGTTAATAGGATGCTCTTGTTAGACATGCATACTCAATGCTAGCATCCATTATTCGACCGACATAATTGTTTGAACCAAACTCGAATTCGAACACATCGCGTAGCCGCAACACAATCCAGTTGTGTCCTCCAGCGCCAGCAGTGTGCATAGGTAAATGAATTGCCCAACCCGTGTGGGATTATCAGCTTTCTGACAGGAAATTCCGTGCATAGCACTCCATTTAGTAGTTCAGTTTATTGTCAATCAAGTTGAACAGGAGCACGCGACTGGCCGTGCACAATGGCCACCGGAAACATGTTGGCAGTTCCCAAAACAACAATAGAAACAAACAAAAGCAGCTCCACAGGCCATAATTACCTGATGAGTTGATAATTTCACACCGCTTGTCCCATCGCCACGTTTATGTTCTCGCTCTCCTTGACGCAAGCCGATGCGCTAATTCGCCAGCGTATATTCCGTATAACTAGGCGTGTATGTGTGAATATTATGCAGAAAGTTTTTTAATATTGGAAAATTTAAGTCAAGTTTAAGTTTGAGTGCTTGAGAAGCAAGGCAGTAGTGCACTACTAACATATTCGCTGTGTGTAAAAATTAAAAGGTAATCTTAAAGGAGAGTTGTTTTTTTCCATGACTTAAAGGAAGTTAATACGACTTAACATATGCTCAATAAAAAATAATTAAGAAAATCATGAAAATTGCATAGAAAGGCGATATTTAGGGGAGAGAGAGAGCAAGAGAGAGAGAGAGAGATTGACTGAAAGACCCTCAATTATATATTATTAAGAGAAAATCTTAAGAAAATTAATTTTAATTTACATACACACGCTGGCTTGAATATATTTTCGAAGGAAATCAATTTGGTACTACAACAAAATTTATTTAAGAGACATTTATATAATGAATGTGTTATATTCCCTGTCAAGATTTGTTTAAGTTCACTTTTTCATATAAAAAAAAAAACGTGACCTGCATCCGAATTGTCTACAAGAACCTTATCTTAAAAGTTTGACCTGAATTCTTCATTAACCATGCAATCTGTGGGGGAATTGTAACAAATTGTTGGCTTGATTTGTTCTAAAATTGCATTACGGTAACGATCTGGGGACAGTGCCTCGATTGCAACTGCAACTGCAACTGCATTTGTGTGGCACTGGCTCTATATGGTTAGCTTGTGGCTGAGGCATTTCAAATGGCTGCCGCAATTGTGGCAAATGCGATTTGAGGCCCGCATTTGAGGCAGGCGAAAGGCATGTGGGCTCCCAAATGCATTACAGTTGTTCGATTTCCTTACATTTTTTTTTGCAATAAATTGAGTTTGTCAGTTTGCAAGTTTCTTTTTTCGACAACAATTCGAGTGACAAATTGTTCAATTCATTACAGAAAAGTCTTTTACTTAGAATGCATTTATAGAATTAAATTTAGCAACGTTTATTTAAATTTACCTGACTAAAAGCTGAAGCTAATACTGAAGACTTTGGTAATCGCCAAAAGATATTAAGTGTGTATAATAACATTCTACATTTGCTTTATTATTTATTTATTTATTCATTTACATAAATTTGATCATTTCCTCTTTTACTTTTAGATTAAATAAACGATGTGAAATTTGGAATTTCGAAACTATAAATTGGCAAACTTTTTCAATTTGTAAATTTACTCAAAATAACCAAAAGAACTGGAACGTAAAACACAATTGGATAAAAGTTGGTAAGTTTCAGTAACTGAACCAGTTACTTTGTAAATTTTTTGCGGGAAGTGCCACAAGGCATTACTTGTAGCTGGATATTGCACCGAACTGCCCCACCAGTTAATACTATCTCAGCCATTGGCCCAGCGGCAATGTTTTTGGTAGCTTTTTTGTTTTGTGGATTGACCAAGTCGGTGTTTGGTTGTGGATGGGGTTGAGCTTCCTGGTAATGTGTTCGTTGATAAAGCAACAGCTATTGCTCAATACTCGTAATGTTGAAGATTTATGAGGGAGCTGCTATCGGTTTGGTAGTTGGCCAGTTGGCCAGTTGGCCGGGAACGAACAATGTGTAAGTGAAACCAAGCGCAACAGCTATAAATAAATGCTGATGCTCGGTCATAGCTAAAGAAATGGCCACCATCCGGAGTATCGGTTGACAAATCTCATTATGGGCCACTGGTTATGATTTGTGGCTCCCGCTGGGCATCCAAATGGTGTTCGGCTGCTTATCTGGGAACTGCTGCAGCATTCTTGTTGTCTATTCGAAATCGGATTGATTGCCATTGATTCTCGAATGTTATTCTCTTTGATTCTTTTCTGTAATTGATAAATAAAATATTGCGCAACAAGATTTCATTACCGTTCTGCTCATGTATGCATTTTAAGTGCAATTTGCGGTTGTCAACAATACATAAATTAATTCCGTCTGTCCCGAGTTGCCGAGCTTGAAATGCGTACAATGGATACTGCCCCCCAAAAGTGTTGGCATTTTAATGAGCAGAACTGCACGACAGTCCAAAAAAGAGGGCTCCAGTGTGGTGTGCGCGACTAGCAGATACCCTGCACCAAGCGTCCAATTGCCTTAACAAATACTTAAGCTTTCTTTTGTGCACACATATAGAAAAGCAGAAATACATAGATATACACACACACAAGCAAGCACACACGCTGCTTGCAGCTCAGCTTAGTTTACGGCTTGCTTCTTCTTCTCTTCGCCTCACCCTATTTACAAGCTATAAATTCTCTACTGACTTCGCAGCTTATAGTCCGATCCGTATAAAATTCGGGGCTTAAACATGCCGCACAAAAGTGTATACGTTCCAAAGCACAAGGTTCTACCCTTAAAAATTAGGCCTTTCCTACAACACGTTTCACATTGCGTGACATGCGTATGATACCCTCTACAAGGATTACAAAAAATGAGTGAGAAAATGCATGCAAAATGGATAAAACAAAACAAAGAAAAATTGGCGAAATGCCAGTAAAAGTGAATTTAAAAAAAAAATGGGAAAAAAAATGGAAAATGTTTTTGCAAGGTCGATTGCCATGCAATTATAATGAAATTCGAGTGCGTGGCAGCGTGGCAAATATTGCAATTGCAATTGCTGCTGATGTAGCAGCAGCTGCACATCATGTGTGGCATACTTTCGGATTGTTGCCCCCCTATTTCGTCCTTTGGTCTGGCCAGTGCAGGGGCAGCTCTGACACCAGCAGCTCTTTTGTTTTTTTTTTTTTTTTTTTTTTTCGGTTTCTTCAGCTTTGTTTGCAGTTGCCGCTTATCTCAGCCCGCCTTTAAACAACTAGCTGAACTATTACTGTTGCGTTTGCTACAGCACCCGTTGCTGCTGCTGCTGTTGCTGTTGCCTTTGGCTTGGCCAAAGTGGCCATGCGGGATGTTGGTTCTTAACCAGCGCAAATATGTTAACCTACAACGACAGCAGCGCTACAGCTAGTTAAATAAATGCGCTCGAGATAAACTAGCGCTTTGTGTGCCATTTTCATGAGGGAAAGCTCAATCTCTGCCGTTTCAGTGATCTTAAAGCTCTGGCCATTGCTTAAAGTCTTCGTTGGCATGCAAAAATGTTTGCCACACGCCCAGTAGGCTGCCCAATATGCCGCACCGTCCACTGGCCCCGCTGTGTACGTGACTTTGGCGCCTGAAAACTACGCGCTGTACTCAACCCGAGCACCAGCCACGAGAACATTTGGTATTGTTGGTCATTAATTTGAAGACAAAGTCTGTTTTTGGGGCTTAACCAGCGCGAGCCTTTCACAGCTAACAGGGTGCACATTTCATAATTTATGGCATGATTAGAATAAGAAAATCTGCTTAATCAGTTTCCTTACATCTACGGCATCTATAACTAGGATAGATTTAAAACCATTAACCGGCAGATTTGCATGGAAGTCAAAAAACTAACGATAACCCAACGACCCAGCATTAAACTACGCGAGTTTTAAGCAATCCTTTTACGAATACTAAAATGTTCTAAATTTTTCACAAAGTAAGAAAGAGTTACTAGGTTGTTTAATGGGTAGATTACTGAAGACCTTTTTCAAGATTAGGTCAAGAATTTGAAATAAAATACTTCATACCTTCCACAGTTTCAAGGATTCACATAAATATTAAACAGAGTATTGCGCATTCGAATGCATCCGATCGCAATGTACTCAATAGTTTTAATTGTTCGTTTTGTCAACTGAGTGTACATTTAGGATTATAGGGACAGTAGAATATAAAACAAAGAAAATCAATACCGAGAACAAAAATATATTTAATCTAGAGTATCTGTTGCAAATGAATTTTCTCGCTGATTTATCAAAACTGTATTCCGACTGAAAAAATATGTGCGCGTGATGGATTAAACACAAAACGTTATGAACACAAAGAACCAATCCATATAATAGGAAGCCTTTTAAAAACATTGAAAAGCTTCTATTATATATTTCGCTCTTTACTGAAATTTCAATAAAGTGCACTATATCGGGAAAGCGCAGTGCTAGAGTGCAGTGCAGTGCATCTGCTAGAGGTTACTTTAGAAAGGGCGCCATCTAATCTTTCTCGAGAACCAAGTGTTTGCGATAAAAAAACACAAATAGCGTAGAGCACAAAGGACTTCTCCTTTTGACGAATGTCTGAACATATGCAAAAACTACGGATTCTCGCAGGCTTCCTGCGGACGATGATACGTGCACAGTCTGTCTTGAGATTGAATAAACTCCTGAGCCGATTCTAAAGGCATGTCCATGTCTGTAAGCCGGCTGAGGCATGCTCAGCTGCGCTTTGGAGAAATGAGAGCTTTGCAGGCAGGGGTCGCTTTTCAGTGAAAGGTAGAATAGTTTGTCACAGTGTACTTGACTCTAACAATCCATTTTTGAATATATGATTTTTCGTGCAATTATCACAAAATTCGCTATAGAACGTCTTATCTTTCTTTATTGTTTTATTATACTTTGACGGACAGAGACTAACTAACTAGTGAAGGCAAAAGGAAAGCCCAAGCCGCTCAAAGCTAGTTTATTTTATCTAGCCGTATTATAAGAAAAATGCTTTATAAATTGTTTTTACCGTTGGGAGCTTTCGTTTTTCAACTTTTTAAAAGGATTTGGGAGTGCATCAGTTTTAAATGTAACACCCTGTATATGTTTATATGTATAGCTGCTTTGTCACACAGCGCACGTACGTGGTACGTATGCTGGCTGAAAAGGATTGGAAGCGTCCACGCTTTTGGTCAGCGCGAGCATCGGTCTTGGCCATCAACTCGTTTTGATGTTGTGGTCTGGCCCCACTGTGGTTTTGTCTTGCGGCTGCCACCGCTGACCCGCTGTCTGAACCTTCGTCTAATGGCTTAGCGGGCGCCTGAGAGGCAGAGAAAGAGTACGACAGAGAAGAGAGAAAGGAGCGCGTAAAAAAAATGTTTTAGCAGCGCATTTTTGAGGTTAACAGCGTGGACGTGCTAGCAGGGGCACCAGGACCAGGACAGGACCAAAGGTGGCAACAAAAACAGCTCCATTGCGATGGCGCTGAGTGCTGGGGCAGCTGGCCAAGATTTATCAAGCACTGGAGTACGTGACGGCAAATCGTGTCAACTGCTTGGAGCGACACGAATTATGACGAATGTCGCCCTGCAAATCTCAACTGGCATTTGCAGACACATGCCAGCAAATAACTCCTAATTTTGTTTTCATTGTCTTGTCACAGCTCGCAGCACGCAGCTTGCAATTGCCTGCGAATCGCTGACCCAGAGCCAGAGGCTGCCAAAAAAGGTTTAATGGATTTTTGGTCAAACCAGGTTCAAGTTAAGCGCTTAAAATAGTAATTATAATATTGTGGGAGTCTCATAAAAGAGAGTTGGGCGGCATTGGGATATACTTAGAACCTACACTCTGTGTCAGAAGAAAGCTACATTTTGCGGAGATTATCCTATCGAGCTGCTTAGCTAGTCCGAGTTCCTTGCTAAAGTACTAGATGTTTCTCATTCCTTCATTCCATGACTTTGGCTCACACCATGACTTTGGTTCACGCCAATGGAATACCACATCGAGCCTCTGGCTCAATTGAGGGTAGCCTGACCCGGCATTTACGAGCCCCTCCACAACTTCCTTGCCAAAAAGCGTGGTTCGATAGCTGCAGGAGTGCCTGCAGTCAGCTACAAGTATCGAGCTTAAGAGCTTATTAATGGTTACTGGCAGAGCATTGTTTTTAAGGCGAGTCGATTCAGGGAGCTATTACAAAATTTACGATTGTCTGTAATCGGTTTGGAGCTCCTCTAGCAGCTACCCGTAAACCGAACCGAAGTTTGCGATTGCAAATGAAAGCCAAACGGTAGGCGTTTAATAGACAATAGGCAACTGCAAGCACTATTCCACTCACAATGGCGTCACTCTTGGCCAAACAAACCGCCGGCTCTGGCCTATGGCAAATGCCCCTGCCTCTTGGCCAATGCAATTTGCAAACGCCAAATACCAAGTATAGACCATCGAGAACGATTGTTTGCCAGACGTTATCTACGATTGCGCTCTGTGAGACCCAAAATAACAGACTTGGTTTAGGTTTTTGGCAATGCGCCGCGTGCTGTTGGCCCTGGCAACGATTTGCTGCATTCTCACGCATTGCGGGCTTTGCCCACACTTGCCAACACTCACACACACGCGCGCACACGTATCCAACCAAAGTCCAAGTTTAGCATTTAAATAGGCTCTTAATGCCTTAACACTGCCCGGCTGTTTGTTTATGTTG